GTTATATTTGGATGCCCCTGTGGGTGTATTATAAGCACTAAAAAAAATTAGCCCCTAAAACACTTCTGATTTTGAGAAAAATTATCTATTCTTTATTTTATTTTCATTTTGTTAAAAGTATTTTCTAATGAAATAGAAAATTCCTTTAACACATTTTTTTATATGATCCAAGGATAATTCTTGAATGATTAGTTATTTCATGAGGATACCAATTAATTTGTATTTTACCTGTTTATATGCTTGTGTATTTATCTATTTTGTTTTTGCTGCTGTTATTTTTTTTATTTTTACCAAACAGGGCTTCATGGAAGACCATCAAATTGGTGATAATGTGCGACGTACCCATTATCAGAAATAAATAAATACAACCACTAAAACTTTACACTCTTTGTTTGTTTGTTTTTTGTGTGCACTTTTTGGATGTTTATTTTTGGAGGTGTCATGTTTGTTCTGATCAAGCCATAACGTAATACATGCTGATAGTATGTTGTCAACTGGTCAAAAATGGACTATTTAGACAACTTTGTGTGTATCAATGTTTTCTCATCATTTAACATTAATAGGGGTTATTTTAATCATCGTATAGTGATTTGAAGTACCCGACATAATATAAACAAACTAGGAAATAACACATGTTTATGAGGGTAGAAAACGGAGTTAAAAGATGATCAAGCCCCAGTGATGAAAATCAACAATAATTTATAATTGATGCCTAATCAAAATGTATATAGATGCATTATAATGATATACGAAAGTGTTTATTTCTGCTCTGAATTCGAGAATACGCAGAAAGACGTAAATAATGAAGCTCTGTACAAGAAGAAATTATTTGACTAATTTGTTTTACAAGAAATGTATATTGCAACTTCCTTATAACGATATGATGCAAACTCAGTAACTCATGCAAGTGTGGCGGGGGATATCTTTTAGATTCAATTCAATTCTCATTTATTTTGTTCTCGGTAAAAAAAAATTACATCGATAAACAAGATACAAAATTATTTATAAACAAATTTCAAAAAATAAAATGGGAAACTATACATCCTTCCATGTTGATCTTGGAAGCAGCTAGCCCCCCGCAAACGAGGAAAATCTACACAAAACGATTTATCGTTGCCAGGCGCGTACGCAGGGGGGGGGGGGGGTTGGGGTTAAAACCCCCTTGAGTTTTTTTTAAGTGTATGTTTTGTGTGTTTTTTTGTGAAACCACCCCCCCTTCCTTTTTTTTTAAAAAAACGGAACATATTGTCAAATTTGTCCGCTTCTCCACCCCCCCCCCCCCCCCCCCCCCCCCCTGAGTGACTTTTCCGCCGGCGCGATTTTCAAATTTTCGGGAGCAAATTTTGGGCCCGATTTTAAAACCCCTCCCTTAAAAAAATTCCTGCGTACGCCGCTGATCGTTGCACAGCTCTACTAAGAGAAAACTTGTGGAAAAATAACAGACTTTTATTTGCCCCAGTGATGCTAGGCGCGGATCCAGGATTTCTTGGGGGGGGGGGGGGGGGGGTTCAAATTTGAAATTATGCGTGCCAAATATTGGTACGTAACGGTGACCAGCAGTGGCGTAATTCGAAACAAAACGTTTTGGGGGAGACAAAAACAAAATCCGCATCACCCCACTCTTTTTCAAAGTTTTTCAAAGTGGGTGGGGGGGAGGGTCCTCTCATGTCACTTCCGTCGACACCATGACATATAAACTGCCATCCGATCTCCGCTCCCTCACAAAGTGTTCCCCTGACTTTTGAGGACCGTTGACGCTCTTGTTATTTTAAGGACGGTTTATTTAACATCATTAATGTACATCGGCCACTAGCTGTTCCAAATTTGTCACATAACATTGAGTAAATTGATTTTCACTAAGGAATTCCAGTAGGCCTATATTTGGGATTTTTCATTTTTATTTTTCTCTTAATAAAAAATAGAGGACCAGGTACTGAGCCGACTTAACCTATACTTACGTATTAAACTAAATATTTTTTTTTTTAAACACTACCAACAAATAATTATCACCCCTCCCCTTTTTTTTTACAAAGTGTGAAGAGAAATACTAACAATACACCCAGTCAATGAATGCTATGTGTAAGTGTGCCGTGTGGGAAGTGCATCACCGTCGCGTCCGGTACTCATACACTGCACAATTTAATGATGGCGACTTCAAGGGACATATACAAGGAGCTGGTTTTTGAGGAGGCCTTGAAGCCAGAGCAAGAAAAGGCTTTGGATTATTTATTGGCGTCTACAACAGTAATGGCAGTCCTACCGACAGGGTACGGAAAATCCAGGATTTATGGAGCGTTACCCCTTATGAAAGACAAAGTAAGTATGTTTGGATACCTGTAATAAAATTAAACTGTCTTGATCAAAGACCATTACAACTGAATGACACGCACCATTAAAACTAAAACAACCACCCAATCCCGAACCCAATGCGCGGCTGAAAGACTTGTTCATCGCGCGCCGCCATTGTATGGTAATTATCACAATATTAAGTGGCGTTGCTCCGCGGGGCAAGGGGGTAATCGTACCCATCACAGCAAAGCGTGAACAAAAATAGAGATTGGTACATAAATATAAGGAAATGATGACGATGATAATGTTGATGATGATGATGATGATGATATTGGTGACTATAGACGACGATGCTGATGAAGATGAGGAAGATGATGAAGATGAGGATGATGACAATGTCGTAACGTTACATGGTGTGTTGCTAGGCAGCAAGCTCGGCGGGGCAAGAGGGGAAACTGCACCCTTCACAGAAAAAGCGTGGGGAAAAAAAAAATCGAGATATATATAGTGTATATTTTTGGTTATGCTTGTTACCTGAATATAATGCTGAATTCGAGAGGTTTATGCGGATGATAATGATAATTTAAATGTCATTATAATGCTGTAAAGAGAAAATCATCACTTTAATCATCATAAACCTCATATTTATGCACCAATCTCTATTTTTGTTCACGCTTTGCTGTGAAAGGTGCAATTTCCCCCTTGCCCCGCGGAGCAACACCACTTAATATTGTGATACTACCAACCAAGTCATTCAGCCGCGCATTGAGTTGTTGTTTTAGTTTTAATAATGAAAAAAAAATCATATGTGTGGCCATGCCTAGAACCATAATGCATGGCCCTACAGAGGAATTTTTCTTGTTGGGGATCGGGGCAAGATGCAATGAATTATTATTGATAATTTTCCTGGACGACATAAATATACGATTTATTGTCAACTTAGTCAGTATCGTAGGGGGGGGGGGAGTAAGCACGCCAATCACTTAAAGATCGCTCCCTGAGGGGGTGGGGGGGGGGGGGGGCTCCCCTCCCATCCCGTGCGGAAGCATTGACGCTTCCTTAAATTGTACCATTCACGAATTTTAATCCTTGTCTGAATTTAGTTTCCCCGAAAACGTTAAACCTCTGATTTCTTTTGGTAATGTTGTAAGAAGGTGAAACTTCGACAAAACACAATTATTATAGTTGTAGTCTCTATAGTTCGTATGAAATTTGTTTTCTCTCTCCTCTATATCTATAGATCTCTTTCATCCTCCGATTTTAAAGTTGTTTCCCTTTTTTTTTTTCCTTTCTTTTTCTTTCTTTTATAATAATAATTGTGATAGCGCAGCTTTTATAAAAAAAATATATTGAGCTGCGTTGGTTCTTTCCTTTCCTTTTTTCCCTCTTTTCCTTTACCTCTCGTTTTGCCCCTCCCCCTTTTCTCATTTTCCCGACGGCAGCACAATTATACCGACAATATCCGAACAGGTTGGGGGGGGGGGGTTCGCAACCTCCCTTTTTTTTAGCGACGCCCCCGAGTGCGAGGGAGGTAATGAGCAATTAAATACAATATAATTTTTACATGACTTTTTTTTAACCCAACATCTGTGGCGATGCACACTTTAACTGGCTGTGTATCCCCATATATAGCTCATGGTTCAAATCGCTCTTGGCATACTGTTTGTACATTTTGATAACAGGGCTAGAACCCCGATAAATCATGGAAATCGACAGTTATGACCTTTGGCCTTACACGTGTATACCCCCAAAATGAGATATACATTAATTTAACCATTTTCCGCTTTATTTCAGATTGATCCTACAAATCATCACGTTGCAATCGTCATTTCCCCCCTCCTTGCCCTTATACATGATCAAATTCAAGAATGGACGAAGCTCAAGATCAATGCTCTACATTTCACAACTCAAATGAATGAGAAGGAACGGCAAGGTTGGTTTTTTCTTTCATTTTTGACTACTAGTTTTCCATTTCTCATCCACCTTAATTCTTTACTAAAACCGAAATTGCATGCTACATTTTGAAACATGGTATAATGCATATATTCTTAGAGGTATTGACTGAGGAGAAGAAAACTTCAATGTTTGGGGTACTGTATAGAAACTTGGAAAGTTATAACAGGTGAGCCCCCTAGTAACCCCACCCCCCCCCCAATCTCAAACTGCCTCCGGCGCGCCTGTATACAATCAAATCTGTCTTTTAAGGTCATCCAAAGGAAACACAAACAAGTGGCCACTGTAAACGGGTGACCTTTATATAATCGCTAAGACGGGTTCAGCAGTGAATATTTGTATATAATATTTTAATTTGTTTACAGTGCCAATTTCACTTATTAACAATTCTTGTCATGACATAGCGAGGCAGTGTAATAAGCAGGGCCCCTATGATATCATACAGTTGTGCACAATCTAGGTTTGAAAACAGATGTATATTATGAATGGAAATGCAATTTGATACAAAATTGACACTTATAATAATTCAATTTTTGTATAACCTCCCAGACGAAGGAACAATTAGTTGCATTTCGAAAAAGATAAAGATAAAGAAAAGAAAAAAAAATCAAATATATAAATATACATAATCATTCATCTAAAAACCATACATGCCCACCATCACACACACACACACACACACACACACGCACACACATAATAATATATAGGCGTGAGGGTGAGGGTGTGTGTATGTTTTGTATATATTTATTCTTGTAACATTATGTTTTGATACCAAGAATATGCTTTTGAAATATGTGCATTGTAACACTAGCGATATAAATTAATTAATACATTATTAATGCCACTTTTCTTTGCAGACTTCGAAGATGGAAATTTTACGCTCTTATTCGTAACACCCGAGGCAGTTGCCACCAATGAGACCCTGCAAAACAGGGTAAAGAAATTGGTGGAAAAGAAGCAGCTGAGTCTCGTCTGTATAGACGAAGTACATTGTTTGTCAACATGGTAAGATATTACAAAATACTCATCACCACAATACATAATATACAACATCTTTGATTATCACCAAATATTGGAGAAAATATATAACATTATTTCATTTTAAGAAATCAACACAATTTTAAATCTCCCAACCCCTTTAATTCAATCTTATTTTGCTTATTATGTAGGGATTTTGAAATTCATCTTAACTTAACTATTTTACAAACAATTTTTTAATAAAAAGTTACTGACTTCATCATGACCCGCACTTCTTTTTTCTTTGACATTTTTAACAAGTTTTAGAATTTCTGGTTGGACTCAAAAATATACAATTCTGATTTTTGTTCTTCAAAAAAGAATGAAAGGGTTTTTCGACAACAGGAATTTTCTTGGCAAGATTGGGTCCAATGTTTGAGAAGTAATCATTAAAGTGATTAGCAATAGATTCTTCATCATTGATGGTTTTATTATCCTCTCGGATTTGTTTTATGCTTTTTTTCCCCATTTTTTTTTGTACAATGCCTTATTAATAACTCCCCATGTTTCCATTATGTTGTATTTCTTTTTTTCAAACTGGGTACAATAATATCTCTGTTTCTCTAATCGCATAATCTTTGTCAAACTGTTTTTATAATAAACATATTTTTCACGAAGTTTTGGTTTAGGATTCGCACAAAATATATAATGCAAGTTATTTTTCCTATTAATTAATCTTAATACAGATTTAGAGACCCAGGGGTTACGTGGTTCATGTCTATAACTAGAAAATGTGCAACTCTCTAGAGGAATACATTCGTCAAGAGCTATTTTTAGAACGTGGATAAAATTGTTGTAAGACACATTTACATCAGTATGAGCCAAAACTTCTGCCCAATCAATCGATCCCAGCTTTCCCTTTTATCTATCAATTTTGGAGGCTGTACATTTCCTTACTTTTTTGACGGGGGAGGTGATTTAGCAAGATTAAATAAACTTTGAATTTTGCAATAAACTGGACAGTGATCTGATATGTCAAACAGTATGATGCCAGATTCAGTTTGTAAATGATCAACATTTACAAATATATTATCGATGAGAGTACACGAATGAGTCGATAACCGCGTGGCTTTTGATATTACTGGAACAAAAGAATACGAAAGTATAAGGTATCCCAGGTAAGAGGACACTTTTTTTTTTTTTTTTTGTCTCGAAATTTGAGAATTTGACATTTTGCTCCGTTAGGGGGGGGGGGGGGGGGGGGGGGGTAGGGTCAGCTTTTTTAGGTCAGCTATGGGTTTTTTTTTTTTTTTTTTTTTTTTAAATAAATAAAAAAGGGGGGTTAACTCCCCCCCCTGTGAACATACATTGCAACGCCTCCACCTCTTTTATTCGTACGTTTATTAAATATGAGGTTATATTGAGAAAGTAAATTACGTAAATTTAACTTAATTACATATTACATTAGCATAAATAAAGATGGAGGAAAGAAATAGAGTGAGAGGGGGAGAGGGAGAGAGAGAGAGAGAGAGAGGGAGAGGGGGAGAGAGAGAGAGAGAACAAGTCTTTTCTTTTCACAGAGGAGGAGACCTCTCGGTGCCCAACATAACCATTTATAACGTGATAATTTAGGTGTATGGACCTGTACATCCAGAACATTAAGAAATTGCAGGCTGGAATCAAGTACATGGTACATGTATGTGAGCACAAAATAATACTCAACTCTTCCCCCCCCCCCCAGGGGCGTCGCCAAAGGGGGGTGTGGGGGTGCGACACCCCCCCCCCCCCCCACCTGTCAGGATATTGTCGGTAAAATTGGGCTGCCGTCGGGAAAAAAGAGAGGGAAAGGGAAAAAAAGAAAGGGGAAAAAAAGAAAAGGAAAAGAAAAGAAAAGAACAGAAAGGAAAGGAAAGAAAGGAAAAGGAAGGAAAGAAAAGAGAAGAAAGAGAAAAAAAGAAGAAATAAGACGAAAAGGGAAACATAAGAAACGGGGGGGGGGGGGGGGTGAAAGAGAGGAGAGAGAGCCAGGGGAGGTAAGCGCCTGAGAGAAGAGGAGTGGGAGTAAAAGAGAGCAGGGGGTTGTTGGGTGGAGTCGTTTCGTCGAGTGAGCAAGAAAGACACGGGCAAATATGTTGCTGTGTCGGGTCATCTGTGTCGGTATTCTTGCTAGATCAATGCAGAAGTTTGAAGTCGGTGAGATGTATATTGTCGGTCGGCCGACAAGTTTTTTTTTCCCTACTGTGACTTTTTATCCGATGCGACGCCTTCTAGAGTGACTATAACTACAATACTTTTCCCGAAGTTTCACTTTCCTATAATATCAGCTAAAGAAATCAGAGGTTTAAAATTTTCGGGGAAACGTCAAAAGTTTCCGCGCCTAAGGGGGGAACTGAATTCAGATAATTAGGCTTAATAAGAGGCGAAAACGGTACGACGAATCGTCTTCCTTTCTCTATATTGTGATGAAACGCCGAAAATTCCGGGGAAAACTTCATTTAGACGAGTCGAGAACGGTACAACGAATCGTCTTCTTTCTCTAATAATTTAATGAAACGCCAAAACTTCCGCGCGGGAGGCCTATCATCCACACCCCCTAATGAGCGCTCTTTAAGTGATTCGCTTGCTCACTACCGCGCCTCCCTAAAACAAGATCCTAGCTCCGCGCCTGCATTAAAATAAATCAGCTATGATGCTGACTAAATTGACGAAATAATTCGTATTTATGTCGTCGAGGAAAATTTGCGCATACGCAAGTACTATAGATAGTCCATATATAGGAAGAACAATTTAGCCTTCGGCCCCGTGTTTATGATGGTTAAATTTGTAGATATTGGACATTTAATTTTGTCGGTAAAGAAATACATACAGAATGATAGACAAAAAGCTGAAAGAAAGGGGGAAAAAAAGAATTGTACTGAAAAATTCATAGATAATCCAAAAATAAGGAAATGTCAATGGGGGCTTTGAATGTGCATACATCGTCCAGTACAGTGAAGTTTAAATTTTGTATACAATATAGAGTATATAAATATATTTTCTTTCTTTTCTACAGGGGAAAGAGCTTCAGGAGGTCGTATCGCCAACTGGGAACTCTCCAGAGTATGGTTCCTGCAAATGTCCCATGGCTCCTGTTGTCGGCAACAATAACGCCAAAGATTAGAGATGACATACTTTCTGTTCTGTCATTGAAACCGGAATTCATATATGCCTCCCCTGACCGCCCGAATATTTTCCTTCATTTTAGTAACGCTTCAGTTGTATCACAAACCCTGAACTGGCTTATTGATGAGCTATTGGCAAAAAAGGAAAGGACAAGCAAAACATTAGTGTATGGTAAAACAATAAACACTTGTACCAAAATATTTCTTGCCCTACATTGCGCCTTATCCTTAGACGTACAGAAAATGAAGTTAATAAGTCAATTTTACGCAGACGACGAAGAAGAGGACAAGATGATTTTATTAAATAAGTTCAAGTCTCCTTCAAGTTCAGTTCGGGTATTGGTCACAACGAAAGCGTTTGGCATGGGCATTCAAATCGATGATGTCATAAATGTAATTCACTGGGGACCAAGTAGCGATGTGCTTTCATATTGGCAAGAAGTGGGCAGATGTGGCAGGGGTTGCAAGCCTGGGAATGCATATCTCTACTCGGCCCCCAGATCTGCTCTGGCTTGTAATACAAGTGAGGATATGAGGAATATGGTCAAGGAATTGAAAAAAGGAAATAAGTGTTTCAGAACTTTGATTTTGAATAGTTTTGTGTTACCCACACAGCTGGTTTACGCAAAGCCACCTTGCAACAAAAAAAAAACGCTGCGCAGAGTGCACATGTGCTCTGTGCAGTTGCTGTTCAATTTGCAAGGATAAATGTAAATGCAGCAAATGAATTATCTTGGTATCCTCGTAATAAAACAATCATTTATTTCTTTTGTTTTGCTTTGCATTTTCGTTTAGCAAAGAATAGGTTGCATGTAATTATATTTTAATGTAACATAATTGCAAAAAAAATAATGAGAAGTAACTATTAGCATATTTTGGTTATGTATTAGACCTTGACAAAAAAGGCAACATATACTTTTGAGAGTTCAATTGTTTTATACATATTTACAACAAATATTACAGGATAGTAAATTTCTGGATAATTTGCAAAATTAATGCATGTAATCTTGTATAGCAATTGAATGTACACTTTTAAATAACATTAAAAATACAAATGTATTAATAACTGATAATAAATTATATGAAAACTTTATTTAACTTTGAAAAGCATCGTGTCGTCCTACATTCAGGGCTAAGAAAACAGACACTAAACAAAATTACTCGTCATTTTACGTTATTGGGATCGATATTGCAAGATTGTTTGAACATGTATTTAAAGGTGCTCACAGAGCTTGCCATTCTCAATGATCTGTCCAACTGATTCCATGCTATAATTAAAGAAATGAGGGGGCTATGTTTAAAGCATTCTGTTTTATACTTTTGCACAGAAAGTACCCCTTCAACTGCCTGCCTTGTATTATGCTCATGAATGAGACTTACTATGATTAAACTTTCTTGTAAATAGGATGGCGCCAAATGATGTGTGCATTTGTACATCATATTAACATGCTGAAATTCAAAACTTTTCTCAAATAGTGCTAAGTATGTTTCATTGTTTATCTTTTCTTCATAATAAGTTCTAATTTATGCAATTGCGTTATTTAAAAAATGCAAGACTATATCATCGTCTTATAACTTCCGGAGCCTATGACCTACTTTAGGCTCCATCATATTTTCTCCTTTAAACTTAGTGTTAAGTATTATTCTTTTCGTATGTATAAATGCATCCAAAACACAAATAGATTACAACAATGTAACATGCCAAATGTAATGATGTATTATACAACATGTGAAATATGAAAATAAACTGAAACTGAACTATCTGTGAAATTTAAACATTACATTGTCGTATTCAAATTATGCAAGGAAATCCTTTTACCTTCTAGACTTTAACTGTCGGACACTATAAAGTGACTGACTGACATCTCTTTTTGTTTTTTGGTAATAACATACATAAATTGAGCTGTAACAGGTACATAAGCATTTGTCTACATCAATAACCCACGACTTGCAATGGCCAAAATTAAACCGATTGTATTTTTGTGCAGCTCAGAACGTACGACTATTATCAATGTTTACATAATAGGGTACAAGTAGTTAGTTATATCCCAGTTGGGAAGAGTTCCTCTGTTGCTTTTATTTAACAAATTAACACACCAATAGATGTTCGTTCATTAAAACATTATTGATGATATAAATGACGAATGCATGCTTTTTTCATTTTTCGCTTGACTTGTTTAAGGTCAACTTTTGTGTCGTGCTTTGAACATGCTAAACCTCTGAGACTTGTATGAGTTGTTATGTGATAAAAAATTTTAATTATGCGAATGACATGAAGTATAGCTACATGAATTTGTCACATGAATGACAAATGGGGTGGTCTGCCAGGGCGAGGCAGAAACAGAGAAAGACGGAGAGAGAGGCAGAGCAAGAGAGGGAAAGGGATACAGAGAGAGGGAGAGGGTGAAAGATTAGAAAGTAGAGAGAGAGAGAGAGAGAGAGGCACTTGCAATAAAAAATGGTGGACTGATTTTGTAGCAATTGTTTACCTACAACATATCAAAATTTGGAAGAAAATGGACAAATATTTACAGAGATACTATCAAATTCCATAAATATGCTGACATCACAGTATGCAAGTTTGTATTTTGAGTTCGATGACCACTATGATGATGTAACAATAAATTTAATGGCCAGATGGCCAGACAATCACATGGAGTCAGTGGCCTATGAAGGATTTTTTCAAGGAGGAAGTTTGAAAATTGAGCCGACTGATACTGACATACTTCATTTACATGTAGTTAACTCAGAACATGACTGAAACTACAGCATAGTCAACTTCTCACCTGTTCTAAAGAAAAAATTATTCTGGCATTCACTTTATTATCCAATCATAGTCAAGTACATGTATGAAAATCAGGCCTGATGCAAATGCATGTCTGTAACCAAACATGAATAGGCAAAATAAAATTAAAGTTAAAAAGACCAGTATTCGAAATGCCCCAATTTCAAAAAATTAAATGCAAGCTCTTATTACCAATCATGTGAAATAATGTTTTGACTAATACATGATGATAAAAAATTTGCTGGGAAACCGCCTACTAATTGATATATTTGGTAAATTAGTTTATCCGATGGTCTGTGAGAGATAAACGCATGTGTCGCACACGTGTGCGTATAGTCCCATATACATCTTTCTGTGTACAGTGCTTGTAACTTTACCAAGACTGGGCCAAGTTTCTTATCATTTTGATGATTCCAGAACCTTGCAGTACACACAAATACTTATATGCTAGATGATCAACCTTTTCTGATCCATTCCACGTTTCTTTCACAACGCAATCGCATGACCATAACTGGCCTTTAGCTTTAATAGGGAGGGAAGTTGATAAAGAGAGAGAGAAACAGAGAGAGAGAGAGAGAAAGAAACCAACAGAGAAACATAGCATGTGAGAAAGCATTAAATTACTATAATGAGCCAAGCAATAAGGACGCAGGATTCAATTTGGTTCCATTTGGTTCCATCTTTATTGGTTCAGACTTAACTCTTTTCTGTCTCTCTCAATATCAATGAACTGAACAGTCTAGGTCCTGCAAGGGACACACCTTAAAAAAATCAACATGGAGTCTTCTCCCTATCAGTACCTCCTCTCTCAGAGCCCAAAACATGTGTCCCTCTCCTAACATACCAACATCCCTTCTCTCCATACAATGTCCATGTAAATTTATTCATATATTCATGCCTAATTGCCCATGCATGCTCATTGAAGTGTTTACTATTGTTTAGGACATGGCTTCCACAAGGTGCAGTGGATATGTGCATATTTGCATACACATGCACACTCAAGAAAGCAGATCTCTTTTCCATCATGGCATGCTACACATGTGGTTGTGTAAATGTGAGCAGAAAGGAGAACAAAAACGCAAAGCATTTAAATGTATGTTTTCCGAATTCAAACATCAAGCTCGGAGTAGTCCTCCGGAGGATTGGAGTTGATCCTGGCAGTGTGACGGAATGGGACAAGCAAAAGTGCTGTTATCAATGCTGGATAACTGTCTGGAGTGAGTAATGAAACCAATGTCAAAACTGTGCTCCACTCCACTGTGTTAAAATGTAATAAAAGGGAAGTTTGGGAATTTGTTAATATATTATGTAATGCATTAACCCCATTTGCAGGCCAAAAATAAGAAAAGGTTAAATTCCAACGGCATTTGAAAGATAATACTAATTTAGAACTTGCCTAAAAAAAGGGGGCTTGAAAATGTCATTAAGTGGGAAAATAACGACTATTAGTTGTCGAATCTGATTTTCAGACCATCGTACCAAATGGTCGTACATTTTATGCTGCGCAAAGATTCAATCAGGTGAATTTGGGCCATTACAATAAGTGGGTTATTGATGTAGACTAATGCTCATGTACCATTTACAGCTCATTTTATGTATGTTATTACCAAAGAAGAAAAAAAGCCTGTCAGTCACTCAATAGTGTCTGACAGTGAAGTCTATCACAGATAGGACATACATGACATAGTCATAATGCCTGCAAAGTTCTACAGAATTTGATGTTGGCTGCAAACACTATGAACATGACAGACAAAGAAAGCGGACAATATATACAGTTCCTCAGATAGACAAAGGAACATCCCTTCACTGCTATTATGTAAAAATGTGTAGAACAGGTGAATATGCATGTGACACCTGTTCTACACATTTGTACACAATAGCAGTGAAGGGATGTTCCTTTGTCTACCTGAGAAACTGTATATTTTGTCTGCTTTCTTTGTTGGTCATGTTCACAGTGAAAGGGGATATAGTATAACTGACATGTGCAGGTTTCAGGAATGCCAAGCTCTTTTCTATTCAAAGAAATTGATGTATTTGCATGTAACTTCTTTCATTTGCGAGCTCTCTTATTTGAATATTTCCATTTGCAGTTGTAATACAAATGCACATGTAAATACATGTATAATTAATTATATGCAAAATAACCCCCGAGGTTGATAAGTATGCATAATCTCTGGCAGTTCTTCACAGGCAAACAAGGAGTGAACATGTGTTTTGTCATGCTCTCTGCAAGATAGTGCCACACCTAGCCTTGGCTGCAAAGGCCAGCCTACAATATTTGTCATGATTATGGATACATTTGCATGAAGTCCCACACAAAACAAAAGTGGTCTCACATGGTTGAGGACTTGAGCTGCACTATCAGATTTTATTCCAACCACAAAATGGCTGCCAAGATGGCTGACATACAGTCCATCAAACAATAATCACCAATCACAAGACTGGACAATAAGTAGGTAACCAATAGAAAAGCTTGTAAAAGATAGAGTGCCATGTGCCATGTGCCATGTGTGCTGGGTTGAATAGCTAAGAGATAAGGAAGAGTGTGTATGTGTGTGGTGCTATAGCAGGTAATGTGCATGAGGATGAATGAATAGGGACAGAACAATAGAAGCCAAGAGCTAGCAGACAGGAGAGAATGAATGTAGGTCACGAGTGCGCTAAAGCATATCGGAGTGGAAAGCTAAATGTACAGTGTAAAATAAACAAGTAACCACTTGGATCAGTGAAATTAAAACCTTACATTAGCATATTATTCCTTTGTGTTACAAAGTTATTAATTCTTGAACTACATGTGCATGTAGCCCTAGATTTATCAAGTGAACAGAAAGAAAGAAACAAAAATCAACAAATGGGAGCAGCATTTTATTACAATTTCTATTAACTGTGAATAATTCATACTAAAGGATAAATAACCCCCAAGAATAAGTGTAGCTAATCTGAAAAAGAGACAAATCCCTGTTTTTAAAAATATTAAAATATAGCGGTTGAAAAATCTATTGAAGTTATTTATTGATCTAAGTTTCAAAGCCTAAAATGATGATTTTAATTTTAGCTTAAGAAGCATCAAATTAAAAACCATTTACTGCTAATCTTAATAATTTTCACAACTAGGGAAGAAAGTTGACCCAAAATTGTTGTATGAATACATATTGCACAAAGATACAAATTTTGCTGAGGTAGATGTTAAGCATCAGAAGAAAAAAAAAAACAGAACTTATTTTTTTCTTACTTTAATTAATTAAGTAACTCCCTTGTAGTCAAACGATCTGACAGTATTTGTGTGCGTGTAATATGGGAGTACAAGAAAGTACACAAATATATCTGTTCCATTATTGATAACAACAAAAAGGAGCATGTATAAGTTAGAAATACAGATGGAAATAATATAGAAAAAATAACTCCTGATGAGGCTTTAAGCACAATCTAATTATATTAGATAGCTTAGACAGATACCGAGATGTGATTGGTCCAGAGCTCGTCACGTGATATCAATTGCGAGGATCCAAATTATTATCTTTTCCTGGCCGGTCACTTTTCAGTGTTATATTATACCGGCTGGTGAAATGAATATATTTTTAATCAATGCATGTCGCCCTCTTGAGGACTGTATGTCACCAACTACATACATTACACCATTATCGAGGGCCATTTTATTTTTTCAATTTGTTTTTTCATGAATTTTTTTTCCCTAGAAATTTTTTTTTGTTTTCCCCCAAAAAATGCTTTTTTGGGTAATTTTTTTTTTTTTTAATAATTTTTTTTTTTGTTTCCCGAAAAATGCTTTTTTGGGCAAGAATTTTTTTTTTTTTTTTTTTTTTTTTTTACCCCAGATTTTTTTTTATTTTTTTATTTTTTTTTTAAGGTAATCTCGACAAATTATTTTTCCGTTATTTTGATTGTCCCGAAAAAAAAAAGAAAAAAATTTCGGGCTAAAAAAAATATGGACCCCCCCCCCAAAAAAAAACCCCAAGGCTATCTAATATAACAGTTATTGACTGGCAGGGGGTATATAACATTCTTTGGACCTGAAGGGAGTTATATTTTCCCTCGTGACCATATTTTAAATATAACCACTTGGGAAATATAACTCCCTTCAGCGGTCCAAATAATGTTATATTACACCCCCTGCCAGTCAATAACTGTATAATATGATACTGAAATACCATATAAATGAGAGCCAGCTTTGGGTGAAATTTAAAAAAAATAGTTGGGTCTTAATCGCTTTGAATTAGTAGCACATTCTATGAGAAAAGTAAAAGGGGGCACATATCCAAGGGGAAAATTAGCACATGTGAAATT